AAAATTCTCAAATGGGACAATTTCACCCATTCGGTGGTTTCAGTGTCAAGAAAGAGTATAAGGATAAAATTCAAATGAAACGTGTTAGCGACTTGGTCTAAAAATCCGGAACATCTTAATAATTCCTCGAATTATCATATTATTCAGAAACATTTTGTTTCCCATTCGTGCATTGTTCGATAGAGAAATAAATGTAACTGTTGCTGCGAGCTGCACGCGACAGTTATAAATAGCGGACATTGAATTCCAGAAGTTGCACCGAGGAATTATATTTAGACTGAATCGTGATTCCTCCACGCCAAACTGATCGATGCCTGACAATTAGAGAAGTCTCGTGGCATCCTTCACGGCGGTTGACTGCCACAGTAGTCGCATTCGTGGCTTGAATGGAATCGAGACCGCACACGATTAAGTTCTCCCCCGGCCGTGTTATCCGATTGTCTAAGTGGTATCTCGTTTCATCCCCATTCTTGTTTTTCGTCTCTGTCTGTTAGGAAATGTTCCTTCTGTTTAGGACTACGAGGATGAACTACCCAGGCTGACGGTTGCAGAACAATCAATTGGTTCTAATTGAAATTAGTCGGAACGATTCATAGTTCATCGAAAGATTCGGAACCGATTAAATAACTTCGTTGAAGCGTTAAAGCTATTAGAACCTGTGGTTGGTATATACCTGACCTGCTGTATTAATAATTCTCTCGTATCTTTGAGTGGTTGATGTTTCTTTAGATACCTTCAAATCATTTTGTATTGCATTTCATTGTCTCATACTAATGGAAAGCTATGATCATTTTAAAGGGTTAAATTGACCCACTTCAAAAGTATTTGAATTATGAAGACGTTTTTGCGAAAGATTTTCAACTAAATTTGTATATTTGCATAGATACACTGCTAGGAGACTCTTCGAATCTCAAAAAACATATTGTTCTAATTTATATAAAAAACTGGAAATAAGTCACTGTAATTGCTTGGTAGTTTTAGCGTTATAATGTACTTCTCAGAATATATTTAAATAAAGAACATAAATAACTCTCTATTTTGTACAATTTCCTTTCTTTAACCGTGACGCGACAAGTAACAAGTAACAACAAGTATTTCTGTCGCCCAGAAATAGAAAATTACTCGGACGATCGAATCGCAATCTGTGCGCGTTAATCATTGCCATCGTCGGTATTAAAAATGAAAATAATGGTCCGCGGGCTGAATTCTGTCCACCAATTACAGGGCGATCGATATCCGGCAATCATCCTCCGGGGGACCGTTCAAACATTTCGAAATTCTCGATCGCCAAGGCTCGTCTAATAATTAAACAACCGCGTAATTGTCCGGA